GCCTTCAGTGAGCATCGCCTCTGACTACATGTAATATATGTGGTCTTCGTGAGCATCGCCTCCTGACTACATGTGAAATATGTGGTCTTCAGTGAGCATCGCCTCCTGACTACATGCGAAATATATGGCCTTCAGTGAGCATCGCCTCCGACTACATGTGAAATATATGGCCTTCAGTGAGCATCGCCTCCGACTACATGTGAAATATGTGGGATTAATTTCTACTGCCTTAGTGAAGGACAGTCATCGTATAAAAGGAAATATGTTGAAGTATTAAGAAGAAACAATTATTTATTTAAATGTTTTCCAAAAAATATAAAGGGAATTACAACATTAATTGTACATGTAGACTCAGAGGGGAGTTATCAAAGTTTAAAACCAAATACTTTTATAAGATAGAAATAAGTTTCTCTCACCTCTTCCCTATTCATTTTCAATTACTTTGTTTTTCCCTTTTCCTTCGTGCTTTTTTGTTTTGCTGTAGGAGAAATCACTGTATGTCTACTGGCTTTTCATCTTCTCATGATGAGTTAATATAGCAGCTCAAAATGTCATTAAATATTAATTGTTAATCTTTAAAAATATTATGACAAATGTGCTCAAATTACGAGCTTTTTCGATTGGTGCACAGAAAAGATGTTATGGTTTTTGGTTTATTATGAGAATATCAAAAATCAAAGTTTGAAATATCGTGACTTGTGCAGGACGTATACAAGTCTCTAAAAAAGTAAATATATTCTTAGATACTTACATACAAACTCTTTACGTATTGTGAACTGACTGTAGAAATAAGCTACAGTATACACTGTCAAACGCATTATTTTTTGTCACACACATTAGGAAAATAAAGCAATTATTTCAGGTTCAGTATTCTTATTCAGTAAAACACTTGTAACTATGTAACGTAAAAAAATTGTAAGTTGACAATAAATTGAAATTTGATTGTCATGTATTTATAAAAAAACGTTATAATTTACAAATTAACTTTTTTGTTTCGGGAAAACACCCATCCTCAGATATTTGAAGAAACATTGTTTTTACATAACTTAAATTTAAAAATTGTATGTTGCTGTGTATAAATAAGTAAAATTCTTGTATTAACTTACACATCCGTGAAGTTTTATTAGGTGGTGGTGCTTGATTCGAACTTATGGTGGATCTCCATACTTAACAGCAGAACAGAGTTGGATCTCTGCTGTTAAGTATGGAACAGTTGGATCTCTGCTGTTAAGTATGGAACAGAGTTGGATCACTGCTGTTAAGTATGGAACAGAGTTGAATCTCTGCTGTTAAGTATGGAACAGAGTTGGATATCTGCTGTTAAGTATGGAACAGAGTTGGATATCTGCTGTTAAGTATGGAACAGACTTGGATCTCTGCTGTTAAGTATGGAACAGAGTGGAAAGTTTTGCTTATGAATTTTAGGTAGACCACAGATATGTGGAGTGATATAATGTTAGTTAAGTGTTACTGTTCCAAGTTCCCCTCCCCTGTGGAATGGTATAATGTTAGTTGAGTGTTTCTGTTCCGAGATCCCCCCTGTGGAGTGATATAATGTTAGTTAAGTGTTTCTGTTCCAAGATCCCCTCCCCTGTGGAGTGGTATAATGTTAGTTGAGTGTTTCTGTTCCAAGTCCGTTAACACTAACGTTTCTGCTGATAGAAGTATTATGTCGTTCTCGTTCTTAGGCCTAGCATGATCTGGTGGTTAAGGCACTCAACTCGCATTCTGTGAGGCGTGGGTTCAAATCCCCGTCCCACCAAACATGCTCGCCCTTTTAGCCGTGGAGGCAGTATATTGTGACGGTCAATCCCACAATTTGTTGGTAAAAGTAGCCCAAGAATTGGCGGTGGGTGGTGATGACTAGCTGCATTCCCTCTAGTCTTTCAGTGCTACATTAGGGATGGCTAGCACAGATAGCCCTCGTGTAGCTTTGTGCGAAATTTAAACCATCCTTCAAGCTGTAGGGTTATTAACGTTTGTTAGACAAGATAACATGTTTTGAAAAATAAATGGAACTGTACCCACAAACACGTTGCTGATAATGGAGTCCAACAGTTTTTGTAATATTTTATAAAAATAATTTGATTTATTAGTGTTGTTCTGTATTGATAAAATTATTTACTAACTAACTGATCTTCTGTTCATAATTTCAATACTTCCAGTACATGTACCCATAGTAACTTTCAAATTATACTGTTTGCGGGAAGAGGCAGGAAAATTCCAGCTAAACAAAATAGCTAAATACAGGATCTCTGTTACAACAGAATTTCGTTTCACCTGCTATTAAGGCAAAGCTATACAGGGAATTTATGTGTGTGTGTGTTTTCTTATAGCAAAGCCACATCGGGCTATCTGCTGTGTCCATCGATGGGAATCGAACCCTGATTTTAGCATTGTAAGTCCAAATGCTGCATACAGAAAAGTGTTTGTTGTATACAATGTACACGTGTACATAAAACAATACACTACTGAACAGAGCGTAAACAGTAACATAACCAGAAAACACACACACACACAAGCGTAAATAAACAATAACATCTCAGTAAAATTTTTATTGCTTTTTAAACTTTCCATCCGGTAAAATAATATTTAAATCGTTACAACATGTTAAAAGTTGTTTCCGAAAACGTGCTCAGCAGGTGGAGCTGATGGATAACATATTTCTGGACTTCTGTTAAAAGAATCATTCATTTTAGGGGTCTCGGAAGTGAACACTGAATTATCAGTAATAGAATAGAACATTTCTGAAGACTCTGTGGCATGTATAACTCTTTGATGGTCCTTTTTATCCCATCTGTAGGCTCGAGAGTTAGGTATACTTAAACTTTCACGCTTAGCTTGTTGACCATGGTCCGAAAGATACCTTCTACAACATGAGATCTGATTTTCCTTCCCAGTTCTGTGTTCTTCACTTTCATATTGTCTGAAATTGGAAATATTGGAATTTTCACATTTAAGTTGGTTATTAATATTTTCGACTTTGGTGGTGCTGGTGATTTCCACGCTTTGAAAATTATCAAGTTTTACTGATTGGCTCCTTGAAAACTGTAAGGTGTCATTGTATCCGACTATAAGTTGTTGTGGTATTAAATTGTTTTCTATAATAGATAAGTCTTCATTCACCTGGTCACTGGAATCTTTCATGGTAATATTCCAAGGTATTTTATTTACGTTTCTTAATCTGGCTGTTTCGTTGTTCTGCTTCGTATGTGCAGGACTTTCAAAGCATTGTTTGGCACAAGTTGAGCCTGTAAATCTTCCCGAGGAAGTTGTACAAGTTGAGCCTGTAAATCTTCCCGAGGAAGTTGTACAAGTTGAGTCTGTAAATCTTCCCCAGGAAGTTGTACAAGTTGAGTCTGTAAATCTTCCCGAGGAAGTTGTACAAGTT